GAATTAGCATTTTATGGACTTCAATTTTCCTCCTATTCTTCTGCAGGAAGATAAAGATGATTTCTTTTTTTTTTTTAAAGATTTTATTTATTTATTTGACAGAGAGAGAGACAGCGAGAGAGGGAACACAGCAGGGGAAGTGGGAGAGGGAGAAGCAGGCTTCCCGCGAGCAGGGAGCCCGATGCGGGTCTCGATCCCAGGACCCTGGGATCATGACCTGAGCCGAAGGCAGATGGTTAACGACTGAGCCACCCAGGTGCCCCTTGCCTCCTCTTCTGCATCCCGCTGGTGGGTATTATCTCAGCACTTGCCAAGCAGAGTACGTGCCCAGTCAGTCCCCTTGATTTGTCAAGTCTCCATCCAGATGGCTAAAGCAAGTGTCTCCTATTCATACGCTCTGTTTCTGCTTCTTGTCAGGGTACCTGACAAGGTACAGGTATCTCTTCCTCAAGTAACTGGCACTGGAAACCACCCTCAGACCAAGTCCCCTCCCGGGCCATGGTCTTGTAGACTCCGGCAGTGGAATCAAACCGTAGTGTGACCTAGTGATGTTGGTTTTCACGAGGAATGTACATCACACCTCTGGCCAGCCCCATTGCCACCTTAAGAACTGTTCTGGCCCTCATCAGCTCTTGCCAGTATCTAGCAGAAGGCTTCCATACAATCCTTGATCACAGGCCTCTGCACTCTTGTGGGTCTCTGGTCCTAATACAATAGATATTGAAATTTAGGGGTTCTCAAACAGTTTGGTCTCAAGACTCTTTTCCACTGTTAAAAATTACCGAGGGACCCAAAGAGATTTTGTTTGAGTTATAACTGTCAATATTTGCAGTGTTAGAAATTAAAATAGGGGGATTTAAAAATATTTACTAATTCACTTTAAAATAATAATAATAAACATGTCAATATAAGTAACATTTTTTATAAAAAGTAATTATATTTCCCAAAACAAAAATGTTACTGAGGGATGCCTGGGTGGCTCAGTCAGTTAAGCATCTGCCTTCGGCTCAGGTCATGATCTCAGGGTCCTGGGATCGAGTCCTGCATCAGGCTTCCTGCTCAGTGGGGAGCCTGCTTCTCCTTCTCTCTCTGCATCCTCCCCTCTTGTGCTCTCTCCCTCTGTGTCTCAAATAAATAAAAAAAATTTAAAAAAATATTAAAAAAATATTACTGAGAAGTGTGGCATTGTTTTATATTTTTGCAAGTTGCTTTAATGTTTAGCTGAAGAGTTGAAGCTGGAGTCTCATAGCTGCTCCTGCATTCAATCTGTTGTGCTATGTTGTTCGGTTAACATGTATGTAGAAAATCTGGCCTTACCCGTATATGTAGTTGAAAAAGGAAGGAGTATTTAATAGGTTTCTTAGGTAATTCTGGGTGTTCTTTTTTCATGCTACATCTCAACTCAATAAGTGGTAGTTTCTCAAAGTTTCCTTACAGTGTGGAATCTGAAACCACTTCAATGAACTTTTTGCATTCTTTTTTTTAAAGATATATTTATTCATTTTAGAGAGAGAGAGAGAGAGAGACAGCACGAGTGGGAGGGGCAGAGGAAGAGGGAGAGAGAACCTCAAGCAGACTCTGTACTGAGCTTGGAGCCTGACACAGGGCTCGATCCCAGGACCCTGAGATCATGACCTGAGCCAAAACCAAGAGTCAGATACCCAACTGACTGTGCCACTCGGGCACCCTGACCTTTTTGCATTCTTACATTAAAATCTATTCCTTTATCTTGCACCTTTAATACATCTTTTTCTAACACCATACATCGGTCATTTGAAACATATTAGTTCACTGGGTTATATACATTCTCTAAATATCAACATATTTCGTTATCCAATATTTTAAAAATCATACTCATTAATATCACCATTGGACTATCATTGGCCAAGCCATTAAATACCGGAAAACTGTCAAGCTCACAGCGGCAGATGCAATTTTTCCAAAATTCTAATTCTCACTTGCAAGCTCAGATTCTGTCATTGGCAATGAATACTGTCATTGTTTTCCTTGAAGATCCATTTTTTAAAAAAGTAGCTGCCAAAACCCAGGTCTGAATAACCAGAGTCTGTCAGTTGTTTCTTTCACCTGGAAACTTGTTTTCTGAGATAGTGATGAGTACAGTTCTCCGTATTCAGTCCCACAACTGCTTCTCCCGGGGGATGGCGTGGTACTGCTGGCAGAAGTGGTTACTGCACTTACCGCTTCATCATACACAATGTTAAAACAATGTGTTACCCAAGGGTTGAGATTTAATAGAGTTAATAACTTTATTGTTTCAGCACGGACCATCAGACCATCTTAAGTGAAACCAGTTTTTTTAAAAAAAATATTTTTTTACTGTTAAGTGCATGAGAGTGAAGAAAAAGATAACCAGTACAGTGTAGTGCTTCTATCTTGATTTGTGTTAAGGGACCAGCAGTTTTACTCACTGTTGCTTTTGTACCATCACTGCCAAAAAAAAAAAGAAAAAAAAGAAAAAAGTCAACAGAGAGAGGAAAGGCAATGAACATCTTTGCACCGTTATGAAAATAGTTCTGACCTCATGGCACCCCTGAAAGTGTCTTGCTGACTCCAGGGATCCATAGTACACACATTGAGAACAGCAGAACTAACTCACAAACTCTCAGTGGTTTCCACTTCCTACAGGCTGAAGACTGGCTAGACCAGAATTAGCATTTTATGGACTTCAATTTTCCTCCTATTCTTCTGCAGGAAGATAAAGATGATTTCTTTTTTTTTTTTTAAAGATTTTATTTATTTATCAGAGAGAGAGAGCACGCACAAGCAGGGGGAGTGGCAGAGGGAGAAGCAGACTCTCCCGCCGAGCGAGGAGCCGGATATGGAACTCAATCCCAAGACCCTGGGATCACGACCTGAGCCAAAGGCAGACACTTAACAGGCTGAGCCACCCAGGAACCCTGATAAACATGATTTTTAAGGCAGAACAGCAGCAAGCCCGAGTGCTGTCTGTGGGGAGAATTTATGAGTTGCCAGCAAGCCTAGTGGGGATCCCTGCACCTTGGGGAGGCTGCTGGGAGGAGGGTTGACATCAGCTGGGCAGCAACCATCCCCAGGGCACCGGAGGCTTAAGCAGCTCTTGTGGAAAGTCGGCTGCGCTTTGCTTGAATTCCGAAGCTGTGCGAGCTGCCACTTCCAGCAATGACCTCATTACAACAGACTGATGGAGCGAGGCAGGTGTCATCCAAGGAGATCATCAGCTTTAGAGAGTGACTTTTCTAATCAAACAGCACAGCAGCACCCTGAGGCTGGTGGGAAGGAGGTGTGATTTCGGTTTTGCCGAGGGGGCAATGGCATTTCGAGAGGGAAAGTGAGTGGGTGACAGTGGTGGAGTTGTGAACAGTTGTGAACTAGCTTCATAGATTCAGAGACTCCTAGGGCCACAGGAGAAGTCAGAGATCGGCCATACAAACTGAGTTGGAAGGAGTAGAAAGGTGGCTCAGGATTCACAGGCTGCAATAGCATCTGAGCCCCCCAGGCAGCCAAGCTGCTCCCTGTCCCGCCTCGTAACGGCGGCTCCGTGCCCCTGTCCCACATTGCTTAGTGGGACCGCCTCCCCAAAAGAAAGCCAGTGATTCAATGTATCTTTGGTCTACTGACAATGCTTTCAGTGAGGTTAGCAGGAAGACTCCAAGTCACAGGGTGTTAGGTGACCTGGCAGGTGGTCTCAGCAGCTGGAGGAGGTCCAAGATTAGGTCCTTGGAAACTGTGGGTCATTTTCCCAGGGTCAGCAAATGACCCTGGAGTGGGAAAGATTCCGAATGGCTGGGAATTGACCCCTCCCACATATCTATCTATCTATCTATCTATCTATCTATCTATCTATCTATCATCTATCTATCTATCTTTTTTTTAAGATTTTATTTATATATTTGACAGAGAGAGAGCATAAGCAAGAGGAATGGCAGGTAGAGGGAGAAGCAGACTCCCTGCTGAGCAGGGAGCCCGATGCGGGCCTCGATCCCAGGACCCTGGGATCATGACCTGAGCCGAAGGCAGATGCTTTACCGACTGAGCCAGCCAGGTGCCCCATTTTTTTTTCCTGCCGCAGGTTTATTTGTACAAATAGCACCGGGGGACACCAGCCCCAGGCAGGTAGAAGCCCAGGGGTCACACCAGTCCTTCTGTCCTCACACTGGAGCCTTTGTGGGGGCCTGGGCACCTTTGGGAGCCTGAGCTGCAGCAGGAGCTGGAGTCCCAGCCGCAGCCTGGGCCTTGGTTTGAGCCTTGGCCTTGGACTTTGGCTGGCAGAGCCCGAGGCCCTTGGCAATGCGGGCACGAGCACGTTTCCCGAGCTTGGGGTGAGCAATGTAGGCTAGTCGATTGAGTTTGTGGCTGCCGCCCTTTGGGATCTTGGGCTTGACCTCCTTGGGCTTGATGCAAGCCTTGATAGCCTCAGCACATGCCCTCATGGCCTTGGCCTTGTTGGCCTGCATCTTCTTCAGGCCCTTCTTGTGCTTCTTGGCAGAGTGCATGTTCCTCAGGGGACAGATATGCTTCTCTAATGTCCATTATCATGTCTGGTTCCTGCAACAACCATGTGAGACACGTGGGACACAGGGTTTTATCTCCGTTTTACAGATGGAGAAGATGAGTCCCAGAGAAGGTACACGACTTGTGATCCCATCAGTAAATGCCAGAGCAGGTGCTTGAACTCAGGCCTCAAGGCTCACAGTCCAAGGCTCTGTCCAGGAGCTGTGTTCCTTCCACTCGGTGCTGCCCGTCTGTCTGTGGTACTCACACAAGTGAGGCAACATGGCAATCCCAAAGGGTGTGAAGCACAGTGTAGCGATGCGCACAACACGCCTCTCTCAGCCTCCTCGGCCAGTTTGGAATGGCTCCCTCATAAACACAGCAAGGCACACTGACACGCTGGGAGGTGCTCCAGGACTGGAACCCAGTGGCATCGATAGGACTTTCTTGTCTGGGTGTTCATCACGTGTGATTAAAAGCCACAGAGGTCACTGACTTTTCGTTTCTCACTGGGACACTCTGGTGTGAAGGGAAGGGTGCTGGATCTGAAGACAGAAGAGCAGGGTTTTCACTCCCCTGATATTTGGCAGTGGGTTGACTTTGAGTCCAGCAGTTCATTTCCCTCAGTCTTAGTTCTGTCAGCGATGAAATGAGCATTCTATATCTTCTCCCCTAAGCTAGCGCACAGGATCGTTTTTGAGCATGAAATGACATCATTTTTACAGAGATGCCTTGCATACTGTGAATCTCTGTAACAAGGTGGGGGTCACACTCCCGGATAATTAACCGCACCTGCAACCTCAAGTGGGATCCATTCTTTTACATGTCAGGACAGTACAGATCCTCTGGACAGGTACTGCCTTCCTTAACTAGGGCGCCAGGAGTTCCGACATTTGGGAAATGTGACCCTCGAGGCTCTGCCTGTGGAAAAGAGCTGGTGGTAGATGGGGAGTGGACATGATTCATACCAGATCAGCTCACTTCCTGGCAGCCCCAGTGGGTGACGTTTCCCGTGTGACGGGGTGAGACCCCACAATTCCCCGTCTATAGGCTCGCATCACCCACGCCGCGACGCCCGGACCGTTGTTCCAGCAGCACTGTGTACAGTTTCCCGCCTGTCGGAGTGGTCCAGGCCCTGGGAGGAAGGACCCGGAGTGCTGGCCGTCAAGCTTGGCTCTCGGGCTCGGGCCAAGAGGCATTGTTGCGGCTGTGGGGCGCCGACTCGCCCAGGGTCGCGCGGTGTGGCTGCGTTGCATGCAGCGGCTGCACATATGGCCAGAAGCGCGGGCTCTGAAGGATTGCTTGAGCTGGAGTCCTGCCCTTCTACTTAACTCTCCCTGCCTCCCTTTTCTCATCCTCACAATAGGAGTGATCACAGTACTGTCTTAGCTCGGGCAGCTATAATGAAATGCCATCAACCGGGTGGGTTATAAACAAAGAGAATTTACCTCTCACAGTTCTGGAGACTGGGAAGTCTACGATTAGGGGGTTGGCAGATTCAGTGGCTGGTGAAGACCCATGTCCTGGTGCCCAGATGGCCGTCTTCTGTGTCCTCCCATGGCAGCAGGGGCAAGTAGCGCTCCGGGGTTTCTTTCCTAAGGGCTCTGATCTCATTCATGTGGCTCCACCCTCAAGACCTAATCACCCCCAAAGGCCCCACGTCCTAATACCATCACCTTGGGCGTTAGGATTCCAACAGAAGAATTTTAGGGGGACACAAACATTCAGCCAATACCAAGTACCTACCTCACAGCCTTGTTGTGAGAAATAAATGAGTTTCAATGTGTATAAAAGCAGTCAGGACAGTGTCTGGCTCCTATATGGAAACAGGCCTCTGCATCAGCCTTGCCATTCACAGGGTCATCATGTGTAAGGGTTGGAATGGGCCCTGGATTGTCCCATTTTACAGCTGGAGACACTGAGGTCCTGAGAGGAAAAGCAATTTACCTACAGTCACCCGGCTGCTAGCCTGGGCTACAAGCTCAGTCTTCTGATTTCAGTTGCAAGTGTTTTCTCCATGATTCCCTTTTCCTGGTCTGTCCACTGTTTGAGTCAATCCCATGAGCCATGAAGCCAGGTCTGGGGCTGATGCTATTGATACGCAAGACTTTGACAAGTAAAAGCAGATGTCTTACCACAAAGCCAACTGAGGACTTCTTATTTGCTCTATAATCAGGGCTTTGTTTTCTGCTAATCTGGATTCACAATTTCAAAAAGATGCTTGTGCATGTTTCAATTCTGTCCTGTAAGACCTTTAATGGCTCTGCTGTCCCCATCAGTTCAGGCCCTCGGTATCTGTCCCTTGGTTATTTGCTCTAGCCCTCATCATTGCCTGAGCAGCTGCTACAAACTCAGCTCCAGCATGGCCTCCTCTGAAATCTTCAGTGGCTAACCCTACCTACCGATCCCCTTCCGTTGGCACTGCCACTCTCTGAGCAGACTGCAAACGGCTTTCTAGCTCTCAGTGATCCCACAGCTTCATTTTTTTGGGCACCGGATATCCTCCATCCAGCCAGCCTCTCACTGTTTTCTGCACAAACCTTGAACTTCCCTAAGGCATTGTGTTTGCTCAGACTTCTCCCTTGGCTTAGAATGTGCTCCTCTCTCTCCAGGCCTGCAGCCATGCTACCCATCCTTTATCCCGACTGTCAATTTCTCTTGGAAGACTTCTTAGTCAACCCATGCAACGCCTCTGAGTTCTTGGTGGCGTCTCTCGTCTCACTTACTGTGTTTTACAACTGTTGGGTCCCATGTCCTATGTCTTCAACGACCTATAGTTGGAGGTCAGGGACCTCGTCTTTTCCAACGTGGTAACTGCTGTTGCCTGTGACGTTATCTGTATAAAAAGTCTTTGTTAAATGAGCACGTTCTTCACAGTACTGTTATTGCAAGGGACTCTGAATTGTCAAGGTTAATATGAATAATTAAGGCTAATTATTAACCTCTGTATTATTAAGGCTAGTTCAGTCTCTGACTGCCTGTCCACAAACCAGTGACCTAGCCCTAACAGCTCCTTCTCCCCTGGAAGAATTTCCTTCTGGACCTTAAGACTGATTTTTTTTTTTTTTTAAGATTTTATTTATTTATTTGACAGAGAGAGACACAGCGAGAGAGGGAACACAAGCAGGGGGAGTGGGAGAGGGAGAAGCAGGCTTTTGCAGAGCGGGGAGCCCGACGCGGGGCTCCATCCCAGGACCCTGGGATCATGACCTGAGCTGAAGGCAGACGCTTAACAACTGAGCCACCCAGGCGCCCCAAGACTGATTGTTAAAGAAAGCACCCTGGGAGGCAAGACTTAGAAGCATTGATCAGTCTTTCATATTTGCAGCTGGCCCAAAGAAGGCTCTGAGGGGGAGCTCTATGGAGGCAGGGGGTGAAGGGTTGGAGGTGGAGGCCAGCACACAGTTGTCCCCAGACTGCCCTAAGTTATTGCAGATACTAAAGAAACCTCTTCATTCTCTAAAGACGGCACGTGTTTTTGTGAGGAGGCACGTGTTCATTCCCAACCAGCCTTTTGCTTTTCTTGTGCCCTGTGAGTCAAACCGGCCAATCGGCCATGGATACCTGTGAGGCTATCTGGAAGTGAATGCTGTTGCTTCTCATGGTTTGGACTTGAAGAAACTGTAATCAACCAGCCCTTTCACTATCCCGAGTAGACTTTGGGCTCTCCCACCACAAATGGTACACAGGACTGCATCATCCTGCATCTTTCCTTGTGAATCGGTAAGGGCTCTGTGAGCTCACCCTGAGCTGGACCTTGTAAGGGATGCCAAGACAGGATTCTCACACTCTCGCATGCAGTGTCGGAAGGGCAGAATGCAGAAGGAGAAAGCAACCTAGGGGGCAACTGGCCTGACCGCTTCTTTCAGAGACCTGGCTTCTGGCTGGAGCAAGACAGGCAACATACAGACAACTTTGCAGAGTTGTGCGTGAGCAGGGGACAGATGGACAGTTGCTGTTGGTCTTGGAAATAGGACTGCAGGGGGCAGTCCCCTGGATCTACAGCCTTTGCCCTTTTGACCTTGGAGGGCCCTGGCCCATAGCTACAGAGTGTGTGCCCTGCACAAAGGCACCAACTGAATGGGGCAAGCGGGGGCTGGAGTCTAGCCCTCACTCCACTTAGCTTCCCCTTGTATAGATCCTCCATTAGGCCCAAACTGAAGCTCCTAGAACATTCTCCAACTGTGTGTATGGCACATCCCTATAAGTACTGTACTTCCCTATCAGTCAATGGGCCTATTGACCTTTGTTTCCACAGCTCCTAGGAGTAGCCTGAAATGCATGAGTGAATGAAGGAGACAGTTGGTGAGTTGCCATATAAATCTGACCTCTGTACTGCCCCCCCTAGTGCTATCTCATCCATACTCCCATTCTCCCACCTCCATGCCATCTTCTTGCTCATTATTAAAGTCCTACTCTTCTTTACTACTCACCTCAAGGTCTGCTTTCTTGTGAGGCCTTCCCCAAAGGACCGAGGCCACAGATTTCCCCTCTTGGTCTCTAGTACCACAAAGGTGTGATGGAGAAACTAGGAATAGCCAACACTCCTGAGGCCCTAATAAGTGTCAGACTATGTGGGCAGGATTCCTTTTAGTTCTCCCAACACCTATGAGGTTGTTAGCTATCCATTGCCATGTGACAGATTACCACAAAGATAGCAACTTAAAAGAATATACATGCATCATCTCACAGTTTCCATGGGGTAGGAGTCTGTGCTCACCTCAGCTGGGTCTTCTGCCCAAGGTCTCACAGGGCTGCATTTGAGGTGTCAGCCAGGCTGTGTGCTAGTCTGGAGGCTCGACTGGGGAAGAATCCGTTACCAAGCTCACTCTGGATGGTGGAATTCATATCCTTGCAGTTTGTGGGACTGAGGTTCCTGACTTCCTGCTGTCTGTCAGCTGGAAGCCTCCCTCAACTCCCCGAGATGGGCGCAGCTTCTGTCCTTAGTCTAGGCTGCCTCTTATGGTGAGATACTTCTGTCAGTCAGCTCCATTTTTCTCTCCCTGAAGCAAGCCTGTCTTGATTAATTGATGTCAGTGAATTGCTGGGCAAGCCCTTTGACATAGTAACTCTGAAGGGCTGTGACTTTTTTTGTTGTGTTGTGTCTCGTACAACTGTGCATCCTCTACATCTGACAGAATCCATGCTGGTCAATGTTGTTGACAATGACTGTGACAATGGCAGAGGAGGGAGACCCTTCCGCCAAGGAATGGGAGGGAAACCCAGCCTGCAGGGACAGGGACAGGGACTGCTGGCTCCATAGGGCAGGAGGGGAAGAAAGGGCGAGGATGGTGTAGGGGCATAGGAAGCACAGAAACTTTTCAGCAACCTTTGGGACCACAGAGACAAAAGCCTTCCCTCCCTCCCTGGGGCAGAGTGGGAGAGCAGGGCCAGCTGTGCACTCACAGTCACCCAGATGCCATCTGCCAGTGTGCCCCCTGTCCTATCATCTCCCTCTTTTACCATAAGACAACATTGTGTCATCTGATTTGTCTTTTCAAGACAAATTTGTCTTTTCTTACCCAGGTTCTGCTGATGAGGGGGTCTTCTCCTTTCACACGTTCAAATCCTGTGAAGGCTTTGGTCTCTGAGACCATCTTTCCATTTTCCTCTCCTGTTGTAATTTTTGCTTTCTGATTTGAGGCTCCCATTGTGGAAGTTCTTTATCTGGCTAATTGTATCTTCTTCCATTACTTGACTTCCAAAATTTCATCATGCAATGATCTTTTCCCCAAGATTTCTGGTAGGCAGAAAATCCTCGTTTAAAATAACAACCCATCTCACTCTAATGTAATCATTATCCACTCAGTACATGATTTATTTTCATTAGCTATGAGCTCAATTTTATTTACTTTATCAGTCCAGGAACCCAGAAAGGCAGGACTATAATCCCAGCTACCTAGAATGGATGGGAAGCACTCAGGCCTTGTGAAATTTTTTCTTACCTGCTGCAGGGCTGGGCACAGAGTTAGCATTACTCAATTAATACCTGTTGCAGTTATCTTCTTCCTCATTTCCCCCAAGTTTTACATCATGTCACTTTCCTTCCTGATCTGAACAAATAAAGAAGCACTTGCCCAAACTTGAAGTGTAGGAATAACTTTTGATCTTGCCCCTTCCCCAACCCTCATGTCCGACCAAACCCAGTCATGCCCATTCTAGCTTCAAAATATCTCCCTGGTCTACTTGCATCCAGGCCCCTCCCTTATCTTCTCGGCTCTGAACCACTGCAACCATCTCCCTGTTCTTGCTCCCTCCACCCTTGCCTCTTCCAATCTGTTCCTCACAGAGCAGTGGATGCTGAAAAACCTAAACCCCATGATGCCTCTACCCTGAGTAAAACCCACTGGTGACTCTCTAGTGCCTTCAAAATGTAATCCAAGCTGTTTTCTGCAGTCCACAAGGCCCTGTACCATCTGACCCCTCCTCCTTCTCTCTTTCATCTCCTGTTCCTCCTTTCTCCATACTCTTGGCACACTGTTCTCTCCCTTCAGTTCTTCCCAATGCCAAGTTCTTCTCTGCTTTCGGTCACTGCCGATGCTGCTCCCTCTGCCTGCATGGCCTTCCCCAAGCTCTTTGCAAGATCGAATCCTTCTCATCTTTTAGGTATCAGCTTAAATGTAACTTTCCCTAAGAAGATACCCAATCCAAAGTGGGCCTTTCCTGTTATTCTGTCTTATGTCTGTTGATTTTTTTAAAAAAATAGCATTTGCTGTTTTATTCATCTATAGTCTCCTTTCCTCCCTAGACGATAAGCTCCACGAGAGCAAGGGCCATACAGGTTTTGTCCACTACTGTACAACCAACGCTCAGCTTAGTAGCTGACTCATGGCAGACATTAAAGTTCATGAAATAGAGTTTTAGCAGAGGATGAATGAAAGCATGACTGAAGGAGGTTCCCTTCATTCCACCTGTGCCCTTTCAACCAAGGTGATGTCCCTTTTAAATACTATAAGAACTCCCTCCCTCCTTCCCTAACTTCATTCCCTCCATTTGTACTTATCTGAGGGGACTTTTCCATGAGTCCACACTATTTTCCCACCACAGTAACATCTTCTTTATCTGAAGGTTATCATCTCACACCCTCTTCTATTCACAACTCAACTGACGTGATGGAAAGAAGAAAAAAATCCTCTGCAATAAACACTGAACCCTGATATTCCAGCCTTTAGGGTTCCCATTCAGATTTTTAATATCTTCCTACACTTCTACTAGGCAGAAAGATCCGTTCTCCAAACCTGCTGCTAATTAGAAGTTATTTCTTTTGTTGGTGGGAGAGGGTGCTGCTGAACTCCATTAAGTGACAGATCTCAAGAAAGGAATTTAAATCAAACCCCAAATAGACATAGGATTCTTATTTTTAATACATTCATTAATCACAGAGTGTCAGCCCTGTGACTACTCATGGGTGCGCGTGTGTGCGCGCGTGCGCGCGCGCGCGCGCACACACACACACACACACACACCCAGCTTCTTGTAGCTCGCTCACCCACAGCCACTATCAGACACAGTGTGTCTCCTTCCAGGGGAGGCATGCAGTACACTTTCCTTGGTGTCTTGCTAGGAGCCTGATGGATGCCCAAAGGGGTCCATTTCAGGGGATCTTCTTAAGGATCCTGACACACAGGGAGCCTGGGCTTCCTTTAGCTCTTCTTAGATTTGTTGTCCAGAATCTTGGCCCCGGGAAGCTTAGAAGAGTCCCCAGTAGTTCACAGATGACTCCTTTCAGCACCCAGGGACTCTGTCCAGCATACTTTGTCCTGTCAGAACACATACCTGCACTCACCCCTCCAAGGACACTTGCACAAGTTCCAGAAGGCCAAAGTCAGTATTTGACCTTATTGAACTTGTAACTATGGTGTAAATACTCTATTAAGTAAGTGTTCATTATTCACTCATCCACGTTTAGTGCCCCTATGCCAGGCCAGCAACATGCTGGGAGTACAGACATCAGCAGGACGGTCGACTGTGGCCCTCAGAGTACTGCTCATGTGCTGTTTCTAAGACTTGCCTATCAGGTGGGTGCCCTTAGGGATCCTTAACCTCAGCACTGTCATGTTCTTATCACTTGTTTACAATATGTTCACCTATCTCAAAAACACCCTGCCCTGATTTAGAGATATCTTGCTACATTATTTGTTTTTTCTGGCTCAACTGGAACTGCCTGCCAGGCTCCTCTTTTTTTGTCTCTGCACCCCACATCTGATGGAGGGTGGAAGTGCAGGTTTAGCCTCAGGCTTGTCCTCCAGGCCACCACAGGACCTTTTTCAGGATGGAAGGCAGACCACTGTTAGTGACTCACTCTCTAGGAGTTGTCCTGTCCATAGATCTCTGAGGGGAAAATGTATATAGTTATGATAATTACATATAAGATATATACATAAAATTTGTATGTATGTCTGGCTCTCTCCATATATACCTGGAGCTCTCCCCATCTGTTACAGCCTCATTGCTAGTTATCGCCATGAAAGACCCCTAGTGAGTGCTCTGGGAGAGGAACTGATAGGCAGATGTTCAGGCAGGCAAAATTCCAAGGGTCTAAGGCCTGAAGGGTGTGGGACCAGGCCATCAGAGGTGGCTGGAGCCACACTGGCGAGGTGGCTTACACGTTTTTCTGTGTTAGGTTTCTAGGTGAGCCTAGAGCCCAATGAGCTTATCTTACTAATGAAAGGATTTTAAATTTCCTGGGCAAGAAATCATGGGGCTTCTCGCATGAATATGGACTTCCAATAACTCACACAGGCATTTTGACTCTTCCTCTTATTATCTGTTGGTTGCATCTACTTATCTCTACCCACCCTGCCACTGTGACCGCTGCTGGGACATGGCAGGGCTCCCCAGCCAGCTTGCCTGGCTTTCCTCTGAGTCCCTCTAATTCATTTTCCCCACATGCAGAGCCATCTTTTAAACCACAGGTCTGATGGGTCACCGTTGCCTCTCCATGGCTTCCCTAGACCTCAAGATAAAAAAAATCCAACCTTCTTTAACCCAGTCCACAGAATCCTCCCAACTTGACCCTGTTGACCTCTAGCTACATCTGTATTCCTTAGTGCTTGTTCCCTTATACTAATGCTCCAACTACTCAGATCCCACACTTGCTCTTGCTTCAGGTCTCTGAACATGCTGCCGTTGTGCCTGGAGCTCCGGGCCCTCCCCTCCTGAATTCCTAGGCAATCTTGAAGACCCTGTTCAGACGCCACCTAAGGGTACTGGGGCAGAACGCTCAATGCCTTTCACCACTGTCAACTCCTTTTCCGGGCTATTGTTCCCAGAGCCTCCTGGTATCTCTCTGTTGGTTCGTTGATGTAGTGGATGCTAATTGCTTGCTTAATTTCTTTTCCCCTTACTGGAATGTAAGACCTTTGAGACCCAGATTCCCACCTATTCATTATTGTATCCCAGTTGCTAGCACAGTTCCCGGCTTATAGTAGGGAAGAACTCAATAAATGTTGAATTAATTCGTTCATGAATAAACTTGCTAGAATGGATAAATCCCAGGTCTTGGTGTCCGGGATGATCTTAATAAAGCAGGTGACATAGTAAGAAAAAACTTTGGCAGGAAGTCACGAGTGCTGAGTTCTTTGCAAACTTGGGCAAGCCACTACTCTCTGTATAGAACTTGAGTTTTCCCACATATAAAATCTTGGAATCCAAATCTCTGAGGTCCTTTTCATCCTTTTGTGGCCCATGGTGCTGCATCCAACATGTTTTCTTTGATAATTACTCTTATTCCTCTGTGTTACCTATAAGAGATGTCCAAAGACCATCATGCCCAGAAGGATCCTCTTAAAATCCATAAACAGCATTAAGGACAAAATTAGAAACAAGGGCTGCTTGGGTCACAACAAGACTTTGTTCTCAGAGCCCCATTGCCTCTTGCTGACTTCTCCCAGGGACTGAGGAGCTCCTGCCTTTATCTTCCAATTGGTGTCCTGAGGCTTTTCAATGAAGACTCCACCATCTTTTCCCTGACGAGCTGATAGACTTGCTGAATTTCAAAGATTACAGCAAAAGTATGGCTTGAATCTTGGCCTAAAAAGAGTTGAAACAGGTGCCAGATGCCAGGAAGGAGCCTAAAGTGTCTAGAAATGTGGTATAACCCTCCAGAACCCCAGGCCTGGGGCCACAGAATTCTGGACTGCCGTGAAGGGCAATGGGTGAAAGGCTCAAAATTATTGCAAGGGGTCTACAAGTTCATTGATGAATCAAGCATTGTCTCTGACTAAATGAGTGCTATGTTTTGCAACTACACATCGTTTTTCAAGTGCGCAACAGAGCTGTGACTGTGACTAACAAAATAAACATTCATTTAAAAGTAGTTCTAAATTCATACCAGGCGTCACGCGCTTTCCTTGCTCAGCGGACACCACAAGGGACACACTACTATGCAATGACTCTGGGTTGCAGGAATGCCAGCTCCAGGAAAGATGAGTCTGCGGCTGTCACTGTACTCCCCGCTCCACGTTCAAGGTCAGCGCGTACTAGGTGCTTAATAGATAGTTGTCAGGATTCAGGGAAATTTTTTTTTTTTTTTTTTTTTTTTACTTTAAGAAGGCTTATATTTGAAAAAAGTTAGGAACCACTGGCTACTCACCGCAGTTAATCAAACAATTTTTTGTGGTTTGCATAGCCGTTGGCAACTTAAAAAAAG